TCCATAGCCAAACCTCATTTAAAACTGTTATATACCACTCCAACCCTTATACATATTAATAAAGTTATGGATATTATAAAATAATGTAAGTTGATTTTTAGTAAATCTAAAAAATTTATTTCAGGTAAAAATTTTATTACAATCGTAGAAACATTCCCAAATAATATTGCACCTATCGGATTGATCCACTGAATGTTTTTGGTAACCAGTATATCCACCAAAAATTTAGGATATTAATAGAAAATTATGTCATCAAAATATTTATATTAAATCTATTGCTAATATGAGAATACACAATTAAAAAATGAAATAGTAATTTAATAAAGGCTGAATTGTTGGCGCCTAATTTAGTCACTTCGATATATGTTTGCATGTCGTTTGATAAATGTCTTTAAAATTTATGTTCTTCTAGAAATATTAAATATTTTAGCATATTCTATTGAGAATAACCTAAATTTTTTTAATTAACGATAACTCTGACCTGAATATTTTTCAAAAAATGATAAAATTTTATAATATAAATGAATGAATGCAACAAAAAACACAAACCTATTTTATAAAAGTTCAAAGTAAGGGGAAAAAAATCTACCTACTTATCAAAGTAGACAGTTGCTTAATTTATCAAGGCATAATCTCATATAGTTAATAAGAATATGATTGGGACTCAAATTTTGGTCATTAGAGAGTTGCCAAAATTATCAAGAGCCCAATATTTTACCTATATAGAAATAAAATATAATTGACTACTAATGTTTTTATATAATCATTTATTTTGTAAGTAATATAAAAAAATATAAACACACGTTCACTTATTTTTTAATTGTTTATTTAAAAAAACATAAAATTTGTTCAAGAAAAATTAAACTTTATTTAACCCTTCACTACAAAGGTGGGGTAAATAGGACCCCACAACTTTTATAATCTTTGTAATACAAAAGCTAGAAGATATTCCGACCTGATTTTTTCAGTAGTTTAATATTTTGTAACAAGGAATACAACTTCCAAATTTCATGATTATTGATTTGATAGTTTTTGAGATATATGCTATTTGTTGAGCTTGGGGTAAAATATACCCCACCTATGTAATGATGTAATTTTTTTTTTAAATCCAATTCTTTTTTGTTACTAATTATATTTATGTATGTCAGGTTAATAAATATAATTGAAAAAAATATAATTATATCTATTTTTTGATTGATATATATGACTTTAAATTAGAAAATTTTATTTTTTCGGTGGAGTAAAAAATCATAAATTTAACATATGATTTTTAATTTGAATTATTCTAGTGACATTTTATACTTTGAAAATAGAATTATATGCTGGCAATCAGCCTGAAGGACCTTATAAATTGAGAAATAAGCCTTTTGATGTGGTTGAAAGGTTAATTCAGCCCATTTTTAAGAGTAATAGGAATGTCACCACAGATAACTGGTTTACCAGTTATGAACTTGCTATACATTTATTAAATTCCCATTCATTAACAATAGTAGGAACTTTAAGAAAAAATAAATAGCAGTTTCCAACATCATTTAATTTAAAAAAAAGATATTTTTTCAAGTTAATTTGCCTGCTAATATAATATGACATTAGTATCATATGTACCAAAAAAGTATAAGCATGATGCTTTCTACCCTTCACTATGATAACAATATTGATACATCAACTGGGGATTTGAAAAAACCAGAAATTATCACATTTTACAATCTCACCAAAGCTGGTGTTGATGTTGTGGATCAGCTATGTTCAAATTATTCAATATCCAGAATAACAAATAGATGGCCATGACAATTTTTTATAATTTGTTGAATATATCTTGCATAAATTCTTTAATAATTTATAAATCCAATAATTTAAAGGAGATTTATAGATCAAAGTTTATAAAATTATTAGCAATGGAGCTAATAACTCTATTAATGAGTAATAGATATGAAAACCCACATGTTAATAAACTACTAAGGGATAATATTGGGAACATGCTAAATATAGAGGAATTAAAACCTATTTCAACCAACAAAAAGGAAGGTGCCCCTCTTGTCTAAGGGTTAGGGACAAGAAATCCTCATTTATTTGTTCAAAATTTATATGCAAAGATCATATGTATGTAACATGTCGTGAATGTTTTTTAAAAAAAATGCATGAACTTTAATATCAAATATTTTTTTTAATATCTGATGTTTTATTATAAAATTCATTTAATTATTACTATAAAATATTGAATTAATAAATAATATAATCAAATTTGCTTCCATTCATTTATTTTTGGTCATATATGATTAAGGAAAGTTCCAAAAAAAAGATTTTTTTTTGAGCAGCTTTAGTAAATATATCATAACATCATTTATAAATAAATGTAAATCTAGAAATTTTGTATTTATTATCTCTAATATTTTTACAATAAGTATATAAAATTTTAGTTCTTAAATTTTATTATTTTCTGAGATATAGCTATTTAAAATTTGGGGTAAAATAGACCCCACCTATGTAACCGCGGGAGTTTTTTTCACCTATGTAGTGAAGGGTTAACAATAATTTATAATTTTGAATTGAATACTAAATATAAACCAGAATACAAAATATACTGTTAACATAAAGATAGCTTTCATTAAAATGGTATGAAAATCGTAATTTTCAGCCAACCCTTTTTAATTTCTATAAAAATTTGCAAGCAGGTTATAGATATTCAAGTAATATCTAAAATAAAATTTTGCTCATTAGCAATTTAATTACCTGAGATGATGGCGATTAAAGGTGTAAAAATCAACTTTTTAACCTATTACTGATGTTAAATAATTAGTTTTAAATCAAAAGCTAAATTAGTTCGAATAGAATCTAATATTAATATTGATAATTATGGGGAAAGTATCAAAATTAAATTTTTTAAATATTGGTCACCTTATATCTATTTGAAATTACTATTTCGAATAATTTTTCAAATTTTTGTTTTCTATTATTCTTTTACTATTTTTTTAATAATTTGTTGAATAACTTGTGTGGCTATAAAATTATTTAAAAATTAAAATATCATGAATAATGTATAAAAACCTATAGATGGCGCTATATATGAACATTTTAATGTAATAAAAGGCTTTTTCTATAGCTAAAAATCATTTTAAGGCATTATAATTGATTTACGAGTAATATTATGCATATTGAAAAAACAATTTTTTTTTATATAATTTATTTATTCTTAAAATATTGCTAAAAATTATTTTTTTCAATATGCATGATATTTGTTCGTAAATAGGATTGGCAAATTCCCGGAAATTTTCCTTGCAGTAACCTTCCCATGGGAATTTTGGGAATAAACGAGAATTTATGAGAATAAATGGAAATCTATGGGAATTAATAATATTTCTTAAAATTTTCAATTTTTATATAGGTACCACCATTTCTATCTTTTATTTCTTAACTTATTTCTTGGTTTAGAGTGTGAGTTTCTAGAAAATGACCAAGTTCTGATGAAGCAAATTCTTTAGGCAATTGTAGATTTGGGTTGTACAGTTCACCATGTTATAGGGGTAGGCTTAGGAAAAAAATATGTAAACTATGAGAATATTTTGAATGAATATATCTAAGCTATTCATGATTATTTATAAGAAATGGAATTTAACCTTTTTTTAATGATATAACTTAAAAAATTGGGAATTTTGTGATTCCTTTCAATAAATTCACAAGGAAAAATATGTCTGGGTTTAACCACCCTATTTGTAAATCAATTTTAATTCCTTGAAATGATTTAAAATGATTAAAAAAAAATGCATTTTATAGCATTATAATGTTCATATATAGTGTCATATATATATTTTTTTAACACATTATTTATGATATTTTAATTTTCAAATAATTATCCAGCCACTTAATTATTAAAAAAATTATCAGAAAAATTAATTGGAAATTAAAATCTGAAAAATTGAAGCTCATATATATTTAAAAGATTAATCTTAATTTTTCAAACACAAAATGACCAATATTTTTTAAAAAGACTGATTTTGATGTTTCCCCTTTAATTATCAATTATTAATTCAGTTATTAATATTAGGTTCAATATTCTAACAAATTTAATTTAAATTTAAGACTAATTATTTAACAATAAAAGGTTAACAAAACCCCATTTTTGCACCTTTAATTGCCATATCTCAGGCAATATAATTGCTAGTGTTGTTAAACGGCTCGATTTGAGCCGATTTTTAAAAACGGGTAACTCAACATTATATCCAGGAAAATATTGCCTAAGCGTCGCGATTTTGCCAAATGGATGTTCAATCCTATATGTCATCTATCAAAATCTCTAAGCTTGCACAATATTTTTCTGGATAAGATATTGAGTTAGCCACTTTTAAAAATCGGTTCAAATTTAATAACACTAATAATTGCTAATGAGCTAATGTACCTACCAATTTTATTGAAAGAGGTCATCCAAAAGGTGTTTGATTTTACATGGGATAATTAAATTACTACTACAAAAACTCCTGTAGATAAGTTGGCTTAGCAGCCTCATATTTTATGCTAAACTGTGTTTCTGCAAAGTTTCATGTATTTTTAATTTTTAATATATAAACATTTTTTAAAGACACTACTAAAAATATTAATTATATATACATCACAAATATATTTTTATAGTAAAAATATGAAATATAGTAATTAAGACAATTCTTTTTTACAAAATTTCTTGAATTTATATTTAATATATTTCTATATTTACAATTAATCTTAGATTAACTAAAATTATCAAAGCTTAATATAAGAATTTTTAAAAAGGAGGTGGCTATGTTTTGACTCAACCATTAGCATTATATTTTACACCTTACATTTCTCATTGGTTAAATAATAATTCATTTATATCAATTTCAAACAAATAGGTGGGTTTACAATGTATTTTTTAATATAGGAAATAATATTTTAGATATAGATTTCTATATTTCTTTTTAAATAAAGCAAAATTTATGATACAAATAAATTGACCAATAAATATGAATTAATAATTGATAGATAATTACTTCTATATCAAATTCCTGTCCTAAATGAATAAATCCAAAAATCCCAGATAATGGTTCTTTGATAATCAAAATAACTGAATTTATTGCCAAATCTGATCCAACATATTTTACCTTTGTTTCCAATGGATTTATTATCGCATATTCTCCCTTAAAGAGATATAATAAAAAGCTTGGATCATCAAATTCAATTCGATCTAAGTTTATTACATCTAAAGATCGTTCTTTTAATTTTTGAAATATTATAAAGAATTGATTTAATGATGCTGGAAATCGATCGGGAAATATTTCATCAATTTTTAATGGCATTTGTAAAAATTCGAATTCGGTACGAAATAGCGAAATACGAAACAACGAAAAATTGGGAATTTCGTCGCTTATATCTCCTAGAAAATTTTTAAAGTAAATTTAAACTAAATATTAATAGATTGAGGTATCTATTTAAATTAAATTTTTAATGTATAAAAATAGATAAAGGTATCATCGTTAACCTCAATTTGATTCCCAAATTAGGAATATGGAGAATATTTCGTCTATTTTTGCCGATTTTTTAAAAACTTTATCTAAATAGATGTATTTACTTTCCTAGCATCTATTTATATCAATTTCAAATTTACTTTAAAAATTTTCTAGGAGATATAAGCGAGATTCCCATTTTTTATTTCGTTTTTCGCTGTACATACTATAGGGCCCATATGATTTAGATAATTCTCAGTAAAATTAAATATAAGTTTTTTTCCAATCTAAAAAGGACAAATAAAAAAATATTACAATGGTAAATATAATAGTTATGCATAAACTGTTTCAATACATTAATATTAAATAACATTTAAATAATGGTTATTTATTAAGCTAATGCCTTCATTTCGTATATTTCATGCATCAATCCAAATATTATTAATAATATACTAGTAAGGATGTACCCAGGACTTATAGGCCAGGGTTGACTAAAAAAGAAACTTCGTCCGCAAACTGTCATTTTCCCGAGTTTTCCCCGGGTCCCATCTAAAATTCTTAGTATTTTAATTTTCCGCAGGTACTCAGGCTCCTCGAATGGTGGGTGGGGGGAAGGGATCGTAGTATGGGAGACCCGGCGTCATAAAAATTATTATTAGTCACTTATCCAAAATCGGTTAGGCGTGAATAATATCCTGATTTCAGTGAGTTTGGCAGAACCTATTAAGGTTGCTTTTGAGGATTGCTAGGGCAAGGTATAAAACACAAATCATAGGATCAAGTTAATTTAAATCTAAAGTAGATCCCCTTTTTAAGGCATAAAAACTGCATCCAAAGATTAATAAATATATTAACTTTCATAATTAATTAAATTAAAATAAAATAAAATAAAAAGGTGAAGATAATTACTATAAAAATTTAATAATCAAATTTTTTGTTTTCGCTTGCTCTTTATAAAATAATATTTTCGACTTATTCTTAAATATGTAATGATTTGCCTGCCATCATTTCATGCTTTAAAGAGCATGTCAGTGCTTTACATACCAAGACATCGTCTACATGAACGAGGGTGGGGGGGGGGGGGGGGTAGAAACAATTTGTCTCAAAATTTCCTAAGGGCGTAAAGGGTTAGACACCTGAGTGGAGGGGGGTTAATCATGGAGGGGGGGGGGTACCTAATATATTTTTTGGTGCTATTTACCATTTTTTATAATATAAATATTGTATAATTAAAGGAAACATATTTGTATATATAAAATTGCAATATATTTATTTAATATTACCTTTGTGATTACTACAAGGCCAACAAATATTTCTTTTAATAATTCGTTGATATTTATGGTAAATGTCAATGAGAAAACAACATAAGTTTCAACCCGATCCTTCAGAGTTTGCTAAAATTTTTACTAGAGTTATACTAAGAAAAAACTAAATTTTAGAATCCAACTCCAAACAGCTACGATACTAGCCTCTAGCGGTCTAAAAAAAGACATTTTGAACAAATCAAAAACCAGTTGTATAAAGCCGGAAATACTCATATAATCAATTTGTATTTTTTTTCTTTTAATTTTGTGTATGTAATACCATAGGGCCAATTAATAAATAATATTCAAAGTTAGGCCGAGCTTAGGTTTAGGATATATGTCATCATTAGCCAATTATTATCGTATAATATTTAATAAATCATTATTTCTAATATATTTAAGCTAAAATCTTTTAAACATTCTATTATTTTATATATATATAAATAAAAGATTAATTAGATTGAGTGGGTGAGGGGGAAGACTATTGTTATTTCGTGAATCAAATTTACGTGTTCATAAAATTCACACAATTTGGATAAACTATAAGAAATCAACCTAATTTGCATTATATGGCTTAAGATATCGAGAAATATATTTGGAACAACATTTTCTCGAAAGATTTTGTCGAGGGCGAGCTAAATTTTTATAAAATTGGAGGGGGAACTGTGTGCACTTGCATCCCCCCATTTATACTACATTCTTAGCCTCATCTCATCCAATGACATTGCCTCATCCCACAAGATGATTATTTTTAATTTAATGGTCTTTTTCCAAATTTTTTTTATATGAATTATAGGTATGTGATCATCAGAGTTGTTAATCGCTACTTTTAAAAGTAGCGCGCTACCGCTATCGCTATTTGTCAAAATAATTAGCGCGCTACCGCTATCGCTATTTGTCAAAATAATTAGCGCGCTACCGCTACGCTAATTGTTAAAAAAAGTAGCTTTATCTACTTTTAGGCTACTTTTTTATATTTTGCATATAATGTAATTGTATAGTAAATAATATATAAAAATCAACATTTATAAATATTAAAATATAGTTAATTTTGACAATTTATGTAATAAATTTTAAATATTTATGGTAATTCGTGAATTTTAATAATAAAATCATTTCAATAATCATCCCCAAGTCTAGAGCGACGATCAAAAAGTATCCGTTTTGCCTTACTAAATAATCTCTTTGTGTCTCACCTTCAGCATTATCCTCACCAAATATTCTATATTCATATTAAATAGTATAAATTATTCATCCCGTTTTAATAGAAATGTGTTGTTATATTTATCAAAAATAGAGTGGTAAAATCATTAGGTTGCTATTCTAAATTTTAAACCTCAGGAATTATAATGTAACTAAGTAAAAATATTTTATCAAATGAATACATTGAATTCCCTGTACTGTATATAAATTAATGGATATTAATCAATAAGAAATAAATATAGTAAAAATCTAATCGTCCATGAAATATTCAATAACCATATCGTATCTATATTATAATTTTCCGATGTCCTCACTACGTCATCGTGACATCATGTCATCGCTACGTCATGTCTCGCTGTCATGTCATTGCTACGTCATGTCATCGGTACGTATTTATTTTGATTTTTTTTATTTGTTGATTTTATTTATTTATTTTATAAAAACAGATGAAAGGAATTTCGAGAATTGATAGTGTACACATACCTAACATCGATTGAGAGATTTGAAAAATCATCTTTACAATATTCCCTCAACTTTCTAAATATGAATGAAATAAATGATGTGAATAAAAAGATTCAAACTAATATTTCACTTAATCCTTTCTTTATTTTTTAGATTACCTTATCAATTTTCATCTCATATTATAAATTACACATTAATGAAATCTCTACAAGATACTCAACTTGTATATTTATTTTGAACATACTCACAATTTTTGTCAGTACTTACATTACAATTTTTTTCTTTCATAACCAATAATTAAGAAGATAATCAAGTATATTCAAATATTTAAATATCCTTATCCTAACTTATTTATAATCTCCAATCCTTATAAATAACTCTTTCTTTATTTTTTGCGCCTCCCTTAATGAATTTATTTATCACTAAATTTTATTATCTCATTCTTTTCTTTCTATCTCTATTATCTATTAACCACTATTTCTCAAAACCTTATCAATTCCTTTAATTTAATTTTTATTATTTTTATAATATAATAATTTATACCTTCTTTTTTGCCCCTTTTTTTAATCTTATTTTTTAATTACCTTACAATTAATTAACCTTAATCTTAATAACATTACATTCATCATGTTATTTTAACTTATAGAATATCATAATAGGAATGATAAGTCCCCCAAAATTTTTTTTAATGATAGCCCTCTAACTACTAGAAATATGCATCAAATATTGACCCATCTACCGGTTTTACATTATTTTAATGTTTGTTTTATATTTTTGCCTGATTTCTTTATTTGTCACATTGCTACAAAACAAGATGAATCTATTAATAAAGATAAGCAAAGAAAATAATGACGATTAAACAAACGCCTTACCCGTTCTTGAGTTACTAGTAAACAAAATAATAAAGAACTACGCTTGAAATGAACTTATCTGGAGGTTTATTATTTTTTTTTTATCTTATGTTTTATATCTATGTTTATTTTATTTTCACCCATTTCTCAAAATGATATTTCTATCACCACTACACAATCCTTATTCCCTCCGCCTATTTTTTAACAAATATAAACATTTAATTCTGTACTATCATTCACTTCACTAGGAGTTAATATAAATATTACTTTATCCGATTCTCTGAGAAACTTTCATGAATATTTAGAGGAATGTTCAAACTCGAATGTACACTACGGCCAATTTCATCAACTTTATTAATGGAAAAATATGCAGTATTCTGTCGTGGCCTTTATAACAATACCTACGACCGTTTTATGGTGGAGTTAACATTATGATTCTATTTTAGAAGGGGATACCGATGCTGTCATTGACAGAAATATCGTTTTGCGTGTTCAAACTTGAATGTACAGTACAGCCAACTTTATCAACTTTATTAATGGAAAAATATGCAGTAGTTCTGTCGTGGCCTTTATAACAATACTTACGATCGTTTTATGGTTTAGTTAACATTGTCGTTCATGATTCTATTTTAAAGGGGGATACCAATGCTGACATTGACAGAAATATCGTTTTGCGTTCTCATTTTACCAGTGTCTCAAGGCATAAGCATATCATCTTTATCAGCACGTATTGTGTTTTGTACACTGCTTTGGTAATCGGTCATTACTTTCATCTACAACCCTAAATGATATAAAATTATACATTAATTATTTCCTCTCCAGACGACCGCCCAGATTTATTTAGTCACTTTTTCCATCAAAAATCAAAATGTCAACAAGGATTTGCTATTAATTTTATCAAAACATAATAAATATTCCTCATTATTTTTTAAAAAAATTATCCTAAATTTATATGTCAATAAAAAAAAATATCTTAAAAAATATATAAATAATTTGCATATAAGTTTCATTAGTGTTTAATGGCATTTTTGTAATTTAAATAAACAGCATTTTTTTTTTACTTAACATAAAAAAATATATATCCCTTATCAGATTCTTTGACAAATAATTTCAGAAATGCAAGACATACATTAAATTCATCTGAAAAACAACAATAACCTTATATAATAAACAACATATTTTTTAGATATAATTTTAATTGATCATATTACAAAAAGGTATAAGAGTCGGTTATTTTTATTTTATTTGTCATGATTCTCTAATAAGTGGTTTCCCAGGCCTTCCCAGTTTCCCTTAATACGGAATTTACATGTTTTTTTCCATATTAGACTAATTGGTAAATCAGATATTTCCTGTTTATGTGATTATATTAAAAATTTAACTATCTCCGAGGCGGGAAAAAATTTTCAAAATTATAATGGGTAGGACTGGGCTTGGAATCTCAAAATTAATATTAGCTTGCACCTGACTTGGGAATATCTTTTACAAATTATTAAGGTTTGAGCTAGGCTTGATAAACATTTTTATAATTATAAGATCTTGGATGCTTCCAAATATTGTGAGCTTGAACCTGGCATGACATCTATCGTAAAAAATGAATAAAAATCTCATTCCTTGTCATTTTTGACGGGCTTTCTACTAGTTAAATGCTAAGCTCAATGACACTGTGCAATAAAAACTAATAAAATAATCCTGTTGTAAATATAATTAGTAAATTCACTAATTTTTTTATAATTTGATATAAATTATGATATAATATTACTAAAATATGTATGTATTTAGTTAATAAAAATTCTATATATAATGTGAAATATTAAACAACTTTTAAATAAATACTGAAAAATTTAATTAATAACTTAACTATTACTTGATTTAATTTTATTACTCTAAATATTTTAAAAATTAATTTATAATACTGAAGGCCTTCAGCTAATTGGACCCATTATCGGTCACCATCTTGCAAACTTTATTATGAATCCTAAAAGACTTGTGGACGCCAATAATTTTATTTGCAAGTACATTGTATGTCTGGCATCCTATTATCCTTTTGAGGGCTAATACTACTGATCTTCTTTTTGAAGTCCTAGGGTTTAGCCAATGCTGTGATTCCCAAATAAGCTCTAAAAATATTTAATCAGATCAATTTATAAATATAAATAAGTGTTTACCTTCTGTTATGTGTCCAACTATCTGCGGTGGTATATATGTGATATCTCTGATAATTCTGCTATTAAAGAGTCTTTCATCACTTTAAACTTATCTGCTATTTTATTCACAAGTGTCTGGCAACATAAAATAGTTGTACCAGGTGATAAAGTTTTAATCATCATAGTAAATGATGGATTATCAACCAAGGACATTGGCTGAACTGTATCAATTATAAAATCCACAATAACTTTATCAGTTAATTTCTGAGAAATATTCAAATTTATATTATTAATTAATTTTGTCTGAATGGAATTAGTCTTTTTGGATGTAGATTCACCTATGTCAAATTTATTTAAATGTTGTTCAATTTTCTTAAACCATTAGCATGAACAATCTTATAAAATAAATATTTTTATTTTATGTAAAAATGATAATTTACCTTTAGGTGTTTCTTGAGGTTATAGCTACTGGATTGATTTGAGGAAATATTTTTTTACATTTTAAACATATAAATTTGAAGCGAGTTTTTGTTTTAATATTTATCTTGAAAAATTTTTGAAATTTAGGGAATGGGAAAGTATTGCTATGAATATTATTTTTTTCCCTGGTATCTTCCATTTCATTAATATCATTGTCTGACTCTGAATCACATTTTCAACGATTTGGATATCCATATGCGATTTTAAATTATTAACAGGTGATTTAGGTTTATAATACAAATTGAAAATATATTTCAATTTCAAAATTAAATAATAAATCATAAAAATTATAATTAATTATGGTATTATATTTAAATTTTCGTGCTTATACTCACATTCATTATATTTTTTTTAAAAAGTAGCCGCTATTAGCTATAACTACCTAAACAGATAGCGCTACAAGTAGCGCGCTACTTTAACAACTCTGGTGATCATTATGTCTGGTTCAATTATATCATTGGTCAGGTTTTAATAAAGAATATTTTAAAAAATTTATATTTATTTGAGTTTATATTCGTTTTACGATATTAACCAATCAAAATATTTCGCTCTTACTCTTAAGATTTGAATTTATCCCCTAAATAGTTCATTGCCCATTTGTATTTAGACAAGGTAATTGGGTGGTATAATTTTAAATATGAAATTTGATTTTAAATATGAAATTGAGTTTCTTAGAAATGATTTTGTCATACAAACTAATACTATTGTGAATTTTTATTTAAAGTCTTATGAGGATTATGAAATTAAGATAACATCAATTTACAAAAATAGCAAACAAATGATTGAATTAAAAGGTTTAATAACTTAAATAATATGTTTAAATAATTTTATATATTAGAAAAAATATTTAATATCAATCAGGAAATTTATAAAATAAATCTTAACAAAGGTTTATAAAATTTAAATAAGTTTTTAAATAATCTTATAAAAGTTGTTATAGGTGAAGAATTTATTAAATATAACAATGAAGAACTTCAAAATAAAATACTCAATATTTGCTGCAAAAGTGAATATCAGAAAAATATAAAAAAATTAAATGAGGATTGTAAAATACGAGAATATTCTGGTTTGAATTTTATTTATATATTAATCTATTTTGTTTGAAGAATCTATTAATAAATTCCAAATATATAATTCATATACAAATAAGTTTAGAAGAAAACATCAAATTTTGTCTGAATTTTTAGGAATATATATTGTCCCTGAACCAAGTAAGCAATTACAAAATTATATTTATTAAAAGCTATTTAGAAAACAAAATGGTTAAAATATCTCTTAAAGCTAATATCTTGCATAGCTGTTCTCCAAATATGGGCTCTTTCTGGATCAAAGTATTAGAATATCCAAAAAATTGTATGGAAAATAATGATATAACAAATTTTAAAGATGCAATCTATAATTATATTGGTTTGTCTATTAATAATATGTCTATTATTTTAAATTAGTTGTCAAGACAGATCCTCTTATTGATGAAAACCTCATGAATAAATGGACAATTGATTTGAATAGAGATGATAACTTTATTTTATTTTTATGTCGAATTAGAGAGGAATTTAAAAAATTAATATAAATTATTTATATTATATATATATTAAATTATTCATTGTTTGATAGATTTTAGGTATGAATATAAAATTTTTTACTTTGTCAATAACACATTCTAAATAAATATAAAAGCTCAAGCAAATGCTTAAATAATTTGCATTAATGAAATTTTAAAATTTAAATTATTTATTCCCCACCTCATTAACCAATAAATGAATACCAGGAAATAAAAATTATTTTTTGCAATATTTTAGGTTGTAAATTATTCATGATAAAAAAAATATTTATATTGAAATATAATTCTCTATATATGAATACAAGTATTGAACAAAAAATATAAATTGAAGATGTTATGCAAACTATTTGAAAAAAAAAATAAAATAGCCACATCTTTTGCCTGAATCAGAGACCTTTACAGGCCTGGATTTTAGGATCGGGTATGGACCAGACCTTTAATAAAAATTTTATATGTCCAGCCCTGGCCTATATTTAAAATTAAAAAATATTAACCAACGTGAGTTTCAAAAATTTTGACAAGCCCATATCCAAACATTTAATTTATTCTATTAGATGAAAATAAACAATATTTCAGTGTATTTAGACAATCAATTTATTTGTATGAAATTTATTATTATTAGAAGAAAAAAAATTTTTTCAACTGTTTTAAATAAGCGAAATTAATATTTCTTAGGCTCAAGCCTATTAATAATTTTTTTCCCAAAAACCCAAGCACAATAGGAAATATAATATCAGACCCATGCCAGCCCAATCCATAAAAATCTCTAACCTGAATGATACAAATGCATTAAAAATTTAAACAAAATTATAATACAATCAAATCTGTCCAATTTTGGCACCATTCAAACCAACATTTATGCCCAACTTAGACAGTTTTCAGCTTATCAATACTACTTTTAAAAAAAAAACATTTTAATATCTGTTATATTCTTAGGTTAGCAAAAAGTGAGAATGTTCAACCATTTTTAAATATATTTTTAATATTAATTCATGAAAATCAGGAGTGAAATTATGTATATATGTTAGTGGCATCATTTTTTGAGCAAGTTTTTTAAAATTTAAAAATCTGATTTTACCAGAAATATATTCCATCATGTTTGGAATATAATCCTATAAATATCAGACAATTTTGCCATGAACTTTTGAATTTAATAAATTTTTATTAGTTCTTCCTAGTGTTGTGTACGAACGGATTCGTGAACGAAGTTCGTTTTTTTGGTTCCTTTTATTTTTGACGAACTTTGAACGTGAACGCGTTTATTTTTTATGGCGAACGCGTTCGAATTTAACGTTCGTTCAATTTTAAAAATACTTTTTATTTATTTAAAAAATTTAATATTTCCGATTTTTTTTTAAAAACTATTATTTATATTTTTTAATCGGCTGTGTTTTTCCTTTTCACATTTCAATTTTTCTAACACATAATTTATTAATTTGAATATTATTGTTTATATTTTAATTTAATAGGTTAGCGTAAGCATGGATATTATTATTTAATCCTCATCATCTGATTCTGAAAATTCAAAATCAGATGAATTATCATTACCATGGCCAAATATGATAAATATTTTACAGTAACATCCTATATTGAAGGAACTAATTCAATGCTTACCAGGTGTAAAAGTGGCCAGAAAGTATTATATTTTCAAAATCTTCAGTTTCCAATTTAAAAGACATTTGATTGTAATATTAATTATTTTATATAATAAAACTAAATAAAATCATTAAATTTGAAGAAATAATGCATTTGGGATATTTGACCCCAATAATAACGATAGTTATTTTAAAATTAAAAAATATTAGTGGCCTCAAATATGGTCAACCATTGATAGACGCCGTATTAAATGGGATTAATAAAAGGTATTAAACCTATCACTCTCAATTAATTACATATATTTTATTTTTTTAAAGATTTGAACATATATATATAAAGATAAATATGTTCTTTCTGCAATTATACATCCAGCATTGAAACTTCACTGGCCATGAATAAAACTTCCACAGAACGAACCTATTAAAAATAAACTTATAGCGTCGTTATTGAAAAAAATGCTTTGAAACCATAGAGAATTGTTAATTTCGAGATATCCTTTATTTTTGTCGAGGAAGTAGAGAATGGATTGGAGGAGGATAACTTATCTCAATTTTTTGAAGCAAATAAAACAATAAATGTTTTTAATTAATTCTTCACGTTAAAAGAGCTGTTTATTAAGAATAATACCGCAATCCCCTCATCTGCCCCTTAAGAGCGTGTTTTTAGTATAGCTAATGTAAGTGTTCCTGTCTATCAGATAAATATTTTGAAAACAATTGTTATTAAAATTTAATTAGAAAAATTATTTATAAATAAAAATATCTTTTTATTCTCTATATTATATTATATTTTATTTATAATTATATTATCAAAATAAAACTTATTTTTTAACATAGCTAGTATATTGTATTAAAAAATATAAGTTTATTTATATTAATTAAATTTTAAAAAAAATTTGTAAAATTTTGAACAGTTCGTGAACGTGAACGCATTCCTTTTTTTTGAACATGAACTTGAACGTGAACGCGTTCGATTTTTTTAGAAATGTTTACAGCACTAGTTCTTCCATTAATTTTTTATGTTAATTATAAAAGACAAGGTTAATGGTAAAATTAAGAGAGGTATTCTAAACATGTTCGAATACATTTCTGGTAAAATCTGATTTTTAAATTTAAAAAAATATGATTTAAAATTGGAAAAAATAACACATTGCTGCTAAAATATATTCATAAACCTATACAAAATAAGATTGTATGTAATTGTTATAAAATGTATGAATAAATATATACAATTAATTTATGAAATAAAATAACATGTTTTGCTTGTTTATTTGGCAAAATATGACTTATTTCTATGGCGTTTTATCTATTTGAATTTATGAATATTTTGAACAGTTCCTTTAGAAATACTAAATTTTGTAGCACATTCTAATTGAGTATGACGATTTAGATTAAATAACCTATTTTTTCAATAAATAATGTGTTACATTTTTTGTTTTCTTTTAATTTTCTTATTTGACATGAATAATTTTAAAAAAGGATAAAAATTTTTTAATTTAAATATATGAATGTAATAAAAACAAAAAATCTTCACTTTATAGGATCTTAAGCAAATGAATTAAAAGTCTACCCACTTCTCAGACTAGATAGTAGGCCAATATATCACGATTATTTCTATAAGTGGTTTGGTTAATAGAAATTTGATTGGGACTCATAATTTTGGTCAAATTATGGAGTTTCCCAAATTAGACAGGTTTGACTGTACTGTTCATGTGCAGGATAATTTTTAGTAATTATATTTGGTGCATTCAGGGACGCAGTAGCGTTGAACGTTCTAGCGGTCGAATGTAAAGTTTCATATATTTCTATATTAACTTGAAAGGATGAATCGCTCTATTTACGCCCTAGCCCCTTCTATTAAATTTTTAAAGGTGTCCACAAGAATTAAAATATGTTTAGATCCGTTCCCTAGTGTGGCTAATAACTCATTTATTATGGGTAAATATTTGTATTAACGGTCTATCGGAAGTTACCACAAATTAGTAGGGATCCATCCTTTTTCAGTACAGGTGCTATTGGAAATTTGTGAAAATTTTATTTTTTCTAAAACTCCCATAGATTCTAATCGTTGCAGTTTATTTTCTAATTTGGTCACGCAAATGGTATAAAGCTGATTTTGAGACGATGAAAGTGGAATTGGGTTATTTCCTTGTAAATAATATCCCCCCCCCCCCCATATTATCCCCTCAAACCTCATTTATTGCACAGCAATGTTTCTCAAATTTATTTATCGCTATAATATTTGACCGCAGATCCTATGTCAATTTAAAAATTACATAATTTTTTTATTTATTGCAATTTCATCTTAAAACTTATTCGCGACTCCTGGGAGCATCTATCGTTTGAATAAATTATCATTTAATGCGATTCTTTCTGCGTATTTTCGGTTGATTACCTTTGATCCTGCAATTATAACAAATTGCGTTTAAATTTGGGCATTTTATTTTTCGATTTTCTAACCAGTAGCAATAACAAATGATTTTATTTTTGATAATCGTTTATAGTTGTTATAATTATCTCTAGACCAGTTTTATTTACCTCAGATTCTTTGGATAATTATGTCGCCGTTATCATTTCTGTCTTCTCCAACAATATGACGATTTGTACTTTTTTCTCTTATTTTTTTAATTATTCCTAGTTTTTACAATGGTTAATATATATTTAATTTACCATATGTCAATAAATATAATAAAATACATTAAACATTTGTAACTGTTGTAAAAATTTAAAAATTAATTATATTGAAATATCTATAAATATTTAATTTATTATTAAGGTTTTTTTTCCAAAAATGTAACTAGTTACCAGTAAACTAGTAATTTAAACAACAAATCTCATTCATCTCTAAAAATACCAAGATGATCAGTCTTTTATACTAAACCCCTTGAATTTTATTTCAAAAATTGAATAGAAATGAATTAGTACTCATTGATTGTACCCAAATTACTTGTACGAGATGGGAGATCTGACAAGACTTTAGCCTAGAGCGGATATTGGTATATCGTTATTATGCAAAATTTTTCGTCGAAAGATATAACAGAATGTATTTCCGTATATGTTTTATCGCGAATTTAATAAGTTGAGTTCGTAACTCAAAGATGCTTTACAAAATTATTGCGGATGTATTACCATAAATGTATTAACGCTTAACATCCAAGAATTATGATAGCCAATGTATCATAAAATAATTACTGAAAATAAGAATACGCGAATATACAGCAAAATTACTGATAATGTCCAACCCATGGCTTAATTGACAGTTGTGATATAAATAATAAAAATAAAACTGGTAAATTTTAACATATTTGACAATTTATTTAGGATTAACATTGTAATATGAACAAAAACGCACTGCGAATAGCACTTTATATAATGGCCGGACGACCGAACCTGACTAAATATTTTAAGGGTTGAATTATTTTTAGTAGGAAAAGGTTGAAATTGATTTTCAATAGTAGAACATGGACTTATTATTCTGTTTTTTTTAGCTTG